TTATATTATATTATATTATATCATGGGTGTTGCCATGCGGGAGCCAAAAATATCATATTATATCATACAAGGTTATGTATTCTTCATTATGTTATATCGACTACTGTGTATCAAACGTTTGATATGTTATTATGTCTAATATGTTGTATTCTATTTTTGTAGTTTATGCAACATGCTTTGTTGTATGCATATTATATCTCTAGTATACCGTATCATATGATGCCATATATTTTATGCCATATGGTTTATATCTCCATGTGGGTTGTACATGTGTATTGGTATAATGTGTTGGTTTTGCATTGTACTTTGCATCGTGTATGTTGTATACAGTATGCGCTTTACGCATTTTCGTTTGTTATATGTTTTGCAACGTGCACAATATGGGTGCTATTATTCGGATAATAGTTCTTATGCGTGTATTTTTGCTCTTTTTATCAGTTTATTCGTTTTAGTACCTACTTGGATGAGCACATCGTTATTGTGATGCAACGGTCAATACTAGACATTGCACGTACTGGCTCTTAAAATAGTCGCAAACCAGTGCCCTTGTCTCGTCGGCGATAGGGCACAGCAGCTTGTGGGGACAAAGCAAGCATTGCCTGTAGTCGTAGTTCATTTGTGTAGTATCCAGCAGGTATAGTCTGCACCAACATAATCTGGGGCCGTTTGGCTGTTTGGCCGTGTGGTTTTGTTGAAGCCAGGCCCTCACCAAGCGAACATCCGGTGAAGAGTTGCACACCATGTTGTTAGGTTCCGGATGTGTAAGTTGAGCGCATGAACAGCAGTGTAGAAGTCTCGCAAGAAGTGGCGCAGCATACTGGGGCAGGCATGCAGCTCCACGGCCCCGCGAGATCTGCAGACCTTTTTACTTTGCGCCAAAGCTATGCTGCTGGACTTGACATGGAATTGAGGGTGTGTGTTCTGTTCTGTAGTGTAAGCTCCGGGACCGCGCCGAGCTTGAACAGCAGTTTCATGGAATTCAGTGGTCAAACCAGGCTGCAGGGCGGTACTGGAAGCGAAGTGGCAGCTAATATTGTGGGAGCTGAGACTGCTTGGGCTGTGTTCCACTTCTGAAGGTGAAGCTTGCGAAGGACTTGAGGAGAATGGATGAGACACAGGCGCGTAAGCTGTCATCCTGTTGGTCGGTGAACGCGACTCCGGCGGCATGCGTCTTCCTGTAGGCCCTATAGGCAAGGTTCCATCGCAGACCGAAGCCCATGGCAACACTTCATGCTGCCATTGGTAGGAGAGAATGGAAATGGGGTTGGCGCTGATCCTCCACCAACAAGCAGCTCGCGATCCCCCGTTCAGCCACCGAGCTGAAAAGTTGTCGTGTCTCTTCCTACGCCCTGATGCAGGTAGATGCCTGTTGGGCTTGGGCTTGAAGTCTGCCGTAGAGTGCCTACTGTCAGGAGGAAAGGGCACAAAGGCTTCTCATTGCTCTGTGTTGCCCAGGCGTGTGACAAATGTCGGGCTTCTGAGAATGACTGCTGCCCGGTTTCTTTGTTCGGTTTATGGAAAGTGGTGTACAGGAGTTGTACAGGCGAGAAGCATGATGCAACAAGTGCTGGGTTTAGGTTTAGGCAATCATGTCAGATAAGCCATCCATGGTCTCGAGCACAACAACGCTTCTTTCCATTGCTGCTTCCAGCTCCTGGTGTTACGTACCCTGGCCGTGCTCGGTTTTATTGTCTCCAGGAGTTGGTTCGGAAGAGCGCAGCAACCAGCATGTGTTGAAGCAAAGATCCAAGCGTGGTGCGATGGTACCATTGCTTGAAATTGCTTGGAAGTTGCCTAAAGTTGCTGTTGCTGGCAGCCCCTACCCAGCTTGGCCATGCACAAATCACACAGATAAGTTCTTTGGTGGGAGTTCTTTTTCCAAGCAGCCAGCTGCGGGTTCGGGACGTGCCCTCACTAGGCTTGCATTGCTGCGCCTCCAGGGAACCTGAGGATAATCCGGGCCCTTTGCGGGCCCGGCACACGACAAAGTGTTACTAGTTACTCCGTTTGTCAGCTTCAGACTCTCAGAATCTGCGAATCCAGCTCAACCCTGGCGGACGGCTTTCAGTGAGTGTAACTGGTACACAGCACAAGCAGTCTCAACACAAGATGTGTGACAGACTTTATCCAGCCTGGGACGTCCTCAAAGGTTTTTCAGCGAGGCTTTCAGTAGTTCTTGACGTGCAGATATTCAGCAGGTACTGCAAACCCTAAACCCGAAGCCCTAAAGTGCTAGCAAACACTCCTCAAGGAGTCTCGGGCGACCTGCGAAGTATTCTCGACGAACAGCTCACTGCAAACGTAGTGATGCATCCAGCTACGATGTCGGAGCAAAACGCAGCTGCTCTTCTCTTCTGTGCAGTCTTTCCCCCCAAGCTGCCAGTGTGTAGGGCTGGTTCCGGACGAAAAACCTGTCTAATCCTACCAACATAGCAACAGCAAGAGCGATACTTATGACCGCAAACAACAAGACCCCACCACCAATGTCCGTTGGCTGATTGGTTCATGAAGACGAAGTTCGCCGCTTAATTGAGAGGTGCTTGTCTTTTTTCTTTTCTGTCATGCGTTCCATCGGCTGCAAAGCAAAGGGTTGCAACGGTCTGTTCGGCGCAAATGTCAAGCTCGCTGCATTGTGAGATCCAACAGGAGCTAGACCCGAACCGAAGCACAGGCGGCCGGGCGGGCGAGTCTGAGTGAGACTGCTCTTGTTGAGACTCCCGGCGATCACGGCTAGCATCATAGCACCATAGCAGAGTTAGGATATTGGATTCATGTTGCGGCGAAATCAGGTTGATGCAAGCATATGCAAGCATTGCTTTGCTCATTGGGCTTTGGGGTCATGACGAAGTCTAGCTGGGAGATCCTAGTCCTAGCCCTGGCCGAGTAACTCGAGCCTCGTACTGGCGGCGCACATAGGTCGCCGACTCCAACGGTCGTCTAAAGTTCTCAGCCATAGAGCATGACTGAAACACAAGAAGCCAACGCCGAGTACAGCATTCGTGCATACAGTCGTGACTTTGAGCCCATACATCATCTTAGAGCCTGTGCAAAATCATGAAGCCAACACCTAGGCTCAAGGGTCAGGCGCCTTGAATTGGCGGAAGCACAGGCAATCCAGTTCTCTGGGCACTTATGGGTGTTGATGCCTTGGTTCGCGAGTTCAGAGAGCACCGATGGCAAATAACTGTTGTTGTTCCTCGAGCTCTGTCTGGGAGGAGGCGTTTGTACAGTGCTTTTCCCGCCTTCATTTTCCCCTGGCCAGCGTAGATTCCTTCGAGTCGAAGACTTGAAGTTGCCCGAACTTTTGCTACCAGCCGAATGCAGCACGGGGTGTCGCGGCGCTGCTGCTTCGTCGTGTGGAGGTGGAAAGCCGCATCCTTGAACTGATCCAGGTCAGGTGTCGAAGGCTGTCATGTCGCGCGCTTAAACCATTGTCCGAAAATGCACGGGGTCTTGCACCATCTTGCAGCTTTGCCCTTCTAGGTCCTATAGTAGAAAAGGATCTACTGCAATACGGTAGCGATGGATCACTGAGGAGCCTCGCTATGTAGATGATGAAATTGTAATGGAGCGTTTCTTTTTGCCTTAGCACACCGAACTGGAGGAAACTATTTCCTAGCAGCATGCATCGGTTGCCCAGCCATGCAGCCAACGTGGCAAGCCATGTCCGCGATGCTGACAAGCCGCCAAGCGGCCCGGGGACCTACGCGCATTGCCTGAGGTTGGTGTTGTTGCTGTGCTTGGCTGCCAAGGCCAAGGCACATGCAAGATGCAGAAAACCTTGGCTGAACGAACCTGAACCTGAGGGGATGCATCGCCAAGATTCACACCACAGCGTCTTGGCGACCGCAAGCGGATTCCTTGGGATCCCGTGAAATCAGCCCAGGCTTGTGAGCCGCCTCAGCTGTGGCTTGCCGCCCCCTCGCTTGACCTCAAGGCTCTTCGGTTTGGGTTGCAGAGGCCAGCGGTCAACCTGCAAAGAGGCAGTGGAAAGTGCTCGCCCTTCTCCAAGCTGCCGGCTATTTCGGTGCCTTTGGCCTGAATGTAGTGTCAGTCGCCGCCGACAACTTGAGGAATCGTAAGGCATGTTCGATGTTGCCAATAGGTCAGGGATCGCAGCCTGTGCCTTGTCCTTGCACGGCTATTTAACAGCTTAGGGAAAGAGTTTGTGCCTTTCTGAGGTAATTTTGACAGGACGATCTTTGGCATAGCAGTGCCGCAGATTCAAAGCAGCTTGGCCGAGAGGGTGGGCCAGTCGACGTTGGCTCGAGTCGGCTCAATGCTTAGCAAGGGGAACGGACAATCTCGAGCACCAGATATACTAAGCAGCTCCATGGAGTTTGAAAGCGATCGAACCCTCCATTGCTCCGTACCTCGGGTAGTTTTCCACAGCCGCGGCGGAAGCTGACAAGCTAAGGAGACTTTGCCTTGTCGGATGCGCAAATCAGCTATGCAGCATCTGTGCTGGGGCTCTCTTCGATCCTGGCTTCTGCCATCTCCTGCTTGTCGGACCCCGGCTGTGTCCCATCACATCCTTCGCTTGAACATGGCGAACAGAGAGTGCAGCATCATGGAGTGCACCGCCGCAGTACATCATGACATCAAGGATGTGTGATCTCGCGACACGTTTCTTGAAGAACACAACGCGGACAGGATCGCTGTGGCAGAGCCCAGGTTCTTATGTGGACGTCAGAGCCTGAGCTGGCTTGCAAACAGGATGTCTCCGACGGTTTGTCGCGCATAGCTCAGGCTGGCACCTTACACGTTGGCTACTGCCTTGACAGCGCTGTCAAGGCGCCTGCTCTCGATTGTTCCTTGCTGGCTTGGCCCAGCGTGTTTATTGGCTGTCGCCGATGCTGCCCAAACATGCTTTTCAGCGACTTGTCAGGAGCATCACATCTTTCGTTCTCCTACAGCTGCTTGCGGCAGCTTTCATAACTGCGGAGAGGGGGGGGGGAATCAATGCATGCACCCCAATTTGTCTTGGCCGCTGATCCACAATCCACCGGCCAGTCATCCACATTTTTGTGTCGGAGCCCTGGACGGGACAGTGGGCTCCTCGCAGGAGGGCATCATATCCCACGTAATCGTACTGGAGGACGAAGGGGGGCAAATCAACGTGACGGTGCGACCGTGCTCAGATTTCCGCATGCATATTGCTTTGATTTCAGAAGATGCAGATCCAGGAGATGCCAGCAGATTGCAGGGGATGGGCCGTCGGCTTGCTAAACACTGGCTCGGCCTGCGGCACAGGCGGCTAAAGACTCCTGTGCCAAGCAGGCTTATGCTTAGGCTTTTTTGGGTTTGGATATGTTCTTCATCAGGCAAGGTCGTGGGAAACCATGGGGCCGTAAGGGCCAGGTCATTCGTCTAAGCAGCTGCCAGCTGTTCGCTTCGAAGGCCTCGGCCTGCTCCTCTTTGGGGTGTCTGACGGGGCCTGGCGGCTCATGTGCCCTCGGCGATGCGTCCTGATCACATCTTCCAAGCTTGGCCTCCAGGTATGCGCTGTCCATTCTCCCGTTGGTCGGCATTGGCTTCATACGCCGACATCTTCCTGAAACAAGGTGGCGAAGCAGCGGTTGTGGAACTCGCCCTTCGTGGCCATGGTTAATGTCATAGAGAACTAATTTGTGTTGTTTCAGCACGTCTTTGTTCGCCGGCTTGGTAGAAGGTTGAGGGAAATAGCTTTCTGGATGTTGTCAGTTTCGTGATCATTGCAATCAGGGCAACGCGACGCGGTTTCTGGTTCGTTCGGCGAAGCCGTCACCCGAAGTACCATGTACCTGAGTCTACTGGGTTGCTTAAAGAGCTCGGGGGTTGATTCCGGTCGTTGCGATCCGGACCTCGCCTGACATGCTGCTCCAGTGTCGGTGGAGCTGGTCAACCTGCTCAGGCGGTGGTCCGCAGTGAACACCCAGGAGATGGACAAGGACCCAAGAGTAGGGCAGGGCGAAAGGTTGCCCAGATCTGCATGTAGTGGTGTGTCATCTCGTTTCCCAATGCCGCCTCCGGTCCCTCAAACTGCACATGTGTGCTGCAGAGGAGAGTGCACAGGAGCTGGAGGTGCAAAGCCCAAGCCTCAGAGACTGCCAACTCTGTCAGTCTGCATTCTTTAGTTTGTGTCTATTGTCCGCGGCAGCGCTAGACATCAAAATCCTTTGTGCGGCGGTAGTCTCTTGGCTTTTTTTTTGCATGCGCTTGCGATGGTGAAGTTCGGGGGTATCGGCGAGTCAGGGCAGCCTGGTTTTCAAACCAAGTTTTCATATCGAGGCCGCCTGGGCTGAATGGATCGGTCGTAGGGCTCCTCCTATGACAGGCTCAAATAAGAAAGCCAGGCTCTGGGACTTTTCTTACTTGGCTGTGTTTCGGGTGAGCCTTGAATGGGAAAGCCTTACTATCAGATTGTGTTGTTCAGCTCTGTTTCGGATAATTGTTCAGGGCTTGCCTGGCATCGTTGAAAGGTGCAACTTTACTGGGATGTGTTGAGACTAAGCGTTTACTTTCAAAACCGACCCCCCCAGGCCAGGGTACTCTGGTTTTGTTGGTCTTGTTCGTCACTGTGCCCCGAATCATGCTTCCGAGCAGCGGCTCTTCTAGTCGGAGGCTGAGGACACCATTGATTGCCTTGCACGGAGCAGTGCATTGAACGTGGCTATCGGTTGGATCACAGGCTGTTCCCTGGTCGCAATAGCAGTGTACTCGTTCTGTCAGAGTCAGGCCTGCGCCTGCCTCCACTGACTCCGCTGCGGCTCGGCTCCCCCACCGAGGCGTGGCGGCTTGTGTTAGACTCCGTTGAGCATGAAGGTCCTGCAGACAGCCGCCCTTCTCTGATCGCAGTAGCCTCAGCTTCGTTTTGGCTTCGAATGCACTGTTGCTAAGGAGCCGAACGCTGCAGCGAAAAGGTGCCATTTCAAAAGATTGTCCAAGGCCTGTGCAGCGGAAAGCTGATACTTGGAGGGCTTGTGAACCCTCTGTGCGATGCATGTTTTCAGGTAAAGCGCCAGCACTTGTTCTGCATTCTCGCTTCTTTCCTCGGTTCTTTCTTTCCGAGCGCTGCCAATTTCTACGCCTCCAAGCAGATCCAAGTGGTGCACGGATTTGGAGCGCTCCGTGGTTGAACTGAGCGAGACTCCGCACCAGTAGCGTGTAAAAGCAGAGGCAGTTAGAGGACATTACATGGTCTGCCATTCTGTCATTCCGGCAGTTTGTGTTGGTATGTGTTGGTGAAGGTACGTCGGTGCCGTCAGTCTGTCTGTGCATCCATTTCGATCTATCTCTTTGGATGTGTGACTGCCTGTGGTCAGGGCCTTGCTTTCCCATGCTTTCCCTCTGAAGTCCCTCCTCTCTCTTGTTTTTGCCTTCCCGTGTCCAAACACCTACAGTAGGCGCCAAGTCCCGGATCCAAGGGCAGGCTTCGCGAAACTGTCGTTGATTGGTGGCATCTTGGCGCTCTCCGCTTTCATCATTGCTGGCCGCCTGGCATGTCTGTCAATGATGTGGTTGAGGTGGGGAACGAGAAGTCGAGGAGTAGCGGAGGTGCAGGTGAGCAGACCGTTACTGGAGACTACAAGAGCAGAAGACGTGGGAAGATTGACTAGGAGAAGAAGAGGCGAAGAAAAATCGCGAAAAGAAGGACAAGACGTGCAAGAAGAAGCAGGTAAGTAATGATCAATTCTCGGATCGGACAAGATGGGAAGATGAGTGGGGGCATACGGGCGCTGTAGCGAGGTAGAAGTGTGGGATATCTCAAGATGGCCGACCCACTGCAAGAATTTACGTTGAAGCTGGGTCTTGATGAGGCTCTTGGAATCTAGAAAGTGCTCGAAGCTTCTGGAAGCTTCGTGCTCAGCTAGCCACTAGCCTCCGCTGAACCTTCCGCAGGAGTGAGGAATCATTCGAACATCTCCGACTCGAGGTTGTGCTGGTTTGCAGCTGTTGCCAACTTCTCACTGAGGATACCTGGGAGATCGTTACGGCAGGAAGTTGCTGGGTGTTTCTGGAATCCTACTGAAAGCCATGACAGCACGCTCCTCGGGACATAGGCTTGGCTTCGTCGCTTCACGGCAAATCCCGAGTCAGTTAGAACTGGGCAGGAATCGCCCCCGTTTCCCTTTGGCCAATTGGGGCACTGCAGCTCAAGGATTTCATGTTCTACAGCATCAGCCCGGGCAAAGCCTACTCAGCCAGGGCCTCAGCACGAAGGATCACATTGTGTGAAGTGGAGTAGGGAATGTAGCCCGCAGCCAGCAGGTGGAGTAAACGCTGTAACCCGAACCAATGGGTTGTAACTGAAAACTTTGTTTCAGGAACTGGCCCGAAATTGTTTCAGAAACCAGTGGGGGCCTGTAACAGCAACCGCCTCTTATCACGCACTTGAAGGTTTAGGGCAGTTTAGGGTTTGGGGTTTAACCATAGTTTTGCAGCAAAAGCTGTAAGAAGCCATGGGGTTCATTGGAATTTCTAATGAAATCCCAACAGAACCCATGCTTTTTCAGGACTAAGAGTTTAGGGTTCAGGGTGGGTTCGGGTTTACAGAATATGGTCTGGGGTGTAGGGGAGGGGGTTGGGGGGGGGGTGTATGAAAAGGGTGCCCTTGTAAGCTTATACAGGGTTGTCAGGGCTTTTAAGGGCTTCTGAGGGCTGTTAAGAGCATATGAAAGGCATATGAAAGACTTTTAAAGGCTTTATCTCTAGACTAAGCCCAGTAACTTGGAACTCGCCTGGCTTGACCGAGTTGTGAGACTTTAATCCAAAGCCCGGTTTCGGTTTTGTTGTTCCGCTGGTTTCCGATACAGCTCCCACTGGTTACAATTACTAGCCCCAACCCAGTTCCAGTCAGATGTGCCTCTGGTTCCTGTTACGTCCTGCTCGGTTCCTGAAATATGGTTCCCGTTACGTCGCGCGCTGGTTCCTGTTACTGCTACAACCCTCACCTTTGCAGGTGCTTCTCATCGTCAGTGTCTTCTGTGTGCGCACAGCTCTGGGCATGGCGCTGGACACTACCTTCCAGGTGGGTGGGGGTCGCGTGGACTCCAGCGGCGGACTCTGTCCTCAAGTCAGCTTCGGTTTGCATGGTACACGCGAGGCGATGGGAGGGGAAGTGTTCCCAACCTCAGGAAGAACCTCCGCTCAGGCACAGCCAGGGGTATCCGAAAGGGTTTGTCGTGCTTTACCTAACCTGACTGATTCGTATTCTCCGATCCCTCGCGCTCTGAAAATTCACGGGGGGATGACAAAGGGCCTCCTGGTCCTCACCGGCGGCCTCGGTGGTCCACTGGGCTGCTCTGCTGAACTGAGACTGGGAAATAACCGACCTTGGAATGCTTCGAAATCCGGAAATCCTGGCCAAGGGCTCTTGACAGCCACGCGACTCGGGGATGTTCTCGGGACATCCGAAGCCACGAGGCAAGGCTCCCTGATGCGCAGACGGGGAAGCATGTCCTCTGCATGCGGTCTTTGTGCTCATCGCGGGAGGCTCATGGCATGTGGGCAGATTTTCACAGCTCTGATCGTAGCGGTTGGATTTCCAGAGACTCACGGCCGGGAGCTCGAAGATATCAACAGTTGACATCCGATTCCAGAAGCACCCAAGCGACTAAGAGGAAAATATATTTTGAAGGATCGCGCCTAACTTGCCGCACGACCCATCTTCGAGCTTTCATCGGTTCAGGATCCGCAGCCACAGGCATTCAACCTGCTTGGCTGATCCCTGTACATAGATCTGAAGGCGGCTCTCTGTGCATTGTCGCGGCAATCGTGGGGTCAGAGGTCCTGCCGAGCATATCCAGTTTGTTAAGAACGCAGAGATACGGAGAGCCACCAAGACTTCAGCTTGACAGTCTGTGATGACTCCTCACTGCTGTCGCAAACAAGCTAACACGGCTTTGCTTGACGGCGGGCGGAGCACTTATCGTGGCCTGTGAAGGAAACGGCGCTTGCGCTACTCAGTATACAGCATGTCTGGCACGTGCAGCGACATTCCAAGCACGTCAATACACTGGAAAGCAGAGCTCACTTCATGTAGTGTGGAGATTGCACTGTGGCGATCCTTCCGTTCCCGCATAGAAATTCGGCCCACATGGCACGCAGCTATGCACCGCATTTCTGTCTTGGGGCCGGGGCCAGCTCTGACACACGTCAAGTGCGGCTGCCACATCGTGGGTTAAGTTGGACAGCTGCAAGTCGCACATACCAGCAGGCACATACTTCAGGCCGCTTTGCGTCGTCGTTCTGTCAGAGCACATGGGGTGTGCTGTCGATCCTGGGGACCCACCTGTTGAGGCCTCATCGCGGGTGTCACGGCATTACACAGCTGCGCAATCAGCGAGCCTCTGTGAAGCAAGTCCCTTCAGAGCTTGTCATCGCAGGTGACCTCATCATCAGTTTCGCAGCTCCAACTCTTGAGGCGTTCGTGCTGACCGGTAGCGGGCTGTACACCCCACTGTGGCTGGTATTCGCTAGTGCCCAGCCAAGCTTGATCAGCCCGGAATTACAGCATGGGCTTGTGCTTGCTTTATGTTGGCTGTGTAGTGCAACCTATGCACAGGGGTACGCAAAAGAGGCACTGGATGGTCAGAACTTATCAGAGCTACTATGGCGCCTGCTCATTACGAACTTCCTGAATGCCTGGTTGATTTTCTTTGCGACGTCCTTCCTCGGGCTTTTCGAACCGTTCAACGAAGCAGAGGCTTTGCGCTTGGGGATCTCACCAGAAACCTGGGGCTCTCTCGGCTTTAACTTGGATGTGAAAGTCTTTAGGCAGGTTTTAGATGTCAACATTGACATCCTTGTGGAGGGGCTCCTTCTAAGTGCTTGGCATGCCTTCTGTGCCGGATCGGACCTTTTGGAAGTCTGGAGTCTATTGGTGCGACAACTCCGCCCGTGACCTCGTCGTGAAAGACCATGGCCATGTCGCGACCGTACATCCGCCCGGTCTGCCGCCTGCCACTTTTCTACCACGAACTCCACGGTCTCTGCAAGTTTCGACTGCTTTCCACTGTCTTTGCTGCTTCTCGTCAACTGTGTACGCGTTCGGTGAGTCAGCTTTGTTTGCGACCAGATCTCGAGGCAGCCTGCGCCTGCAAATGGTAGCGGTCGGAACAAGCTTGCCGTTTGCCAGAGGCTGCATCAAAATACAAAGCGTGCGAGGTGGGTGCCTGCTATGACTGTGACGAAACCGGTTTTTACTTCAGATCATCCATTGGGCACGGCTTGTGCGACCCTCGTTTGGAATGGAAGCCCAACGCCCCCTGCCACAAAGGCAAAATGCGTGTGTAGTGGAGTTCGCGGCATAGTGATAGTGTTTGTGGAGCTCGGTTTTAGCACAGGTTCAAAAGCAAAACAAGCTCGCAAACGGTTTGCCGTTGCGCCTAGGCTCGAAAAAGGGCCCACATGGAGAAATTGCACCACGGACGCCTGTGCCAAGGGCATCGTACCCGATTCAGGCAAGCAAAGGCCATTACCAGCCTAACTCTGCACTTTGCTGGGCTCAGGTCATGAGCTTCCCGTACTTTCGAACCATAGATGATCAGTGCTAAGATCGAGGACCCTGTAAACCCGGTTAAGAAAGACAGGTTCGGTAGTGACAGGCCCTGGCGGAGGGTCTTCCTCTCTTGTCTGGCCCATGGCCCCTGCTGCACGTCGTGGTGTCGCCAGGTGCGACATCAGGAGGGTTCTGCAGAAGCCGTAGCTGACAACTTTCTGTTTTTCGTTTCAACCGAGAAACTGCAGTAGGTGCCAAGGGCACGCAGCGACGTGCTGATGGTGTTGTCTCCTGCCAACCTGTGGCAAAGCATCCGTTGTCGAGGCTCCTATGGCAGTCAGCCAGAAGAATAGCAGCGTCTAGCAGGCCAGGCACTCCACATGTCTGTAAACTTGTGGCTTCGAGCAGGGATGTGATCGCTTCTTTGATGGCGTCGTCGGAGATGTTGGTGACTCTGCCGCTGATTTTTTGCGTAGATGGCGTATAGATCCCTAAAGTGGCGCATCCCCCCGGATAAAGGCACAAGTGTTGAAAGCTGTGTGCGTGATTTGACGCAGAAGATGGTGAGGGGCCGGGTAGCAGAAGTAAGTGAAGCGAGACTGAGGTGTGTCCATCGCATATGAGAACTTGAGCAGCGGACATGAAGGTTGAACTCATCTCGCGAACATTGTGGGAACGAGGCAAGGCGTCGGTAAAAAGAGGAAAAAAGGTAAGAAGCTGCCTACGTGCAGCAGCTGGCTGGCCCCAGCCCCTAGCTGTGACCATCGTGAAATAGGGCGTAGTTCTGAGTCGACAAGTGCCTTGGAACTGTGGATACCACGTTGCACTGTCGCGTCAACTTCTGTGCTCTCAACTGAACCCTGCAATGCGGGCTTGGCCAAGCTAGCTGGGAGGCAACAAAACCATAGTGCCAACACAACTTCCCGGCCTGGGCGGCGGGCTCATCAAATCCGGGGAAGGAACGAAGGAAAGACGGCACATGACGCATCTGGATGAGGTATATAGCTTGGGGTACTAGCTGGATGATGACAATAAGACGTAGAAGAAGCCATTGCGCAGAATTCGGGGTTCGAAGCATGGGGCCCGCACATCGCTGCCGCAGCGGCTGAACTCGCAGCAACGCAGCAACACAAACCACTCACGTCGCGCAAGCTTGGTGAAGAAGTGCCTTGACATCGGTACAACCCCACCTGCCTACTTTCCCAGAACACAAAATCGCTAAGGCGGACATCGCCCATGGTGGCGGCAAACTGTGAAGAACGCTCAGATTTCCTGTGGGCTGCGCGGGCATTAGGCCGGAAAGTGTGAACTGCAAGAGCAGAGGGGACCCTTCATGAAATGCATGCAGATGCAGGTGGGTTGTTGTTGCATGCAAGGCAGCCGAAGTGTATCTGGGGAGAAGCTATGGGATTTTTTTGAACATCTTCACATTTCGTTGACAGCTGCAATCCCTGAGCAAGCGTGATGTCGTGTGCGGCAGGCGGCGCCGCAGCTGCATTCGTTGCCGGTGGAGCTGTCAGCCGCTCGCAATGCGATACCACCGGCCATCGCCAGGGCCTCGACACAGTCATCAAAGGAGTCGAGTCGAACCCGGCCCTGCCTACCTCGGATGCGATATGCTGGGAATCTTTTCCAGTTGTCCACCGAGGTCTATACCCCAAGGACCTCGAGCAGTTCCTGAAGCCCTCGGAGTTCAACCCAATCCCAGAATCTCGGCGAAGATTCCAGATAGCCGACTTGGGTTGGGCTTTTGAGCATAACCCCCCCCAAGAGCTTACCGAATTGACTTCAACAGGTGACCATGCCACCACCTTTCCCCGGACTCGCCAGGCCACCGAAAGCATAGCTTGGAAGCATGATATCTGTGTATATACGCAAGTTCGAGTTTTGTAGGACCTGCCTTGTAGATTGCACGAGAGACGTTGGGGAATTCAGAATCTTGTACATGATTCAGCTTGCTGGCACTCTGCCGGCATCAGGTGGGTATCCCGCAGCCATTCTGGTGCAAAACAGCTGGAGGTGTAGACTCACTCCTCCCATCTGCTCTGAATCGCAGTTCAAGGTGGATGCGGGATGCATGCACGCGGATGATAACCGGCACCATCGTCAACTCTAGAAATCACAGCGTGGGCTTGGAAGCTGTTCCATGATCCGGCCAACGATAATGTACGTCGGTCGGCGTCGCTTTGGTTCTGTAGTCTAGCGGTCTTGCACCGGTGTGGTGGCTAGGAGCATTCAACATGCTCGAACTCGAACACCTATGCCTGTGCAGGCATTCGTTTGCCGTGGTCAAGAAATTATCAGGCCAGACGTGTTGCAGTGCTCTCGAAGCATCATCTGCCATTGCACATGGTTGTGGAATTCATGAGACGACCTTGCAGATCTCGTAACCATGACAGTGAAGACTTTATCTTGTCTGCGCATCGCCTTTTGAAGACGCAGCGCCCGACCCTTTTCGTGGACCTCTACAGGACTTCCCTCAAGACAAACGCCTTCGGAAAAGGAACCAATCTTGGCCCCGACATGCCCCCCCCTCCACGTCTTGACCAGTCATCAGTGGTTGCGCTGTGCCTGCTTTCACATGCAGACAGCACTTTGCATGTTGGGGCTTCTGTGAGCTTTGAGTGGTGAGTGGTGGCGTTGCGATGGAGGCAGTTCGCCTGTCTTTCCATTCTCGTCGAGTCGATTCCGTATTCCATCATGAAGGCGCGGCCATCCTTGCATCTTTGTTTCAACACTGCTCCACTCTGCTTTTGCAGGGAGTCGCGAGCATTTCGAGTGCCATTTCGATGCCTTGCAGGTTACCGTGGATGTCCATTTCGCTACTGACAGCAAGGCGACTTGACCTGCACCAATCTTGCGGCTTCTTGCACGTGGTGACATCTCGTGCTGAAAGTCGCGATTTCGAGTTTTCTCCACGGTGTCTGACCGTCAGAGAGCATGCCGAACTGCCCAAGCCCGTGCCTCAGGTCAAGGGGGCCAGCAGAATCCGGGCAGCAAGATGGACAGCCAGTACACAAATCTCTGTGGACAGATACATGTGTCTATAGATGTAATAAACATACATACATGCATGCATACGTATA